TTTATATATTCGATTAGCATACGATTGTCAGAGAATTTTTAAAGTTAGCATGTTATCGAAATTTTCGAAATACTAATTTTGAACAGCCTACTTTGACAAGTCATAACATTTGTTACGATTGATCGTTTCGTACGCCATTAACGACCTAGAAAACTAGACTGTGAGCACTTCGAAATGGTATTAAAAATACAATCTTTCGATTCCGTTTCACATCTCATAATAATTTCGAAAATTGAAACAAAAACATAAAAAATTTAATGGGTAATAAAAAAGGGAGCAAAGTTGAGGGGTCACGTCACCCCGCGTCCGCCATGGGTACAATTGAGTCATTATTTAGCCTTGTTCAAGATTTTTTGGGTCCCAACATATATAAGTTGGGGCTCACCTTTTTTGTACCAGTCAACTCAATAAAGTTCGCCAAAAAATAAGAATGGGCTTGACCTACTTCTTAACATATTTGTGTGTATTTCAAAATGTTAAAAACCTTATCCATATACATAATTCCGAAGTGCAATGACAAAAAATAGATGACATAAATCAATTTCAAAGACCTTGAATAATACACTTCCTTCTGAATAAAGTAAATAATTGGCCATCCCAATTATTGAAAAGTGTCAAATAACCCATTTGCCAACATTTTGTCTATTTGCAATGGTACTTGATAATAATTTTATACAATTTTTCAAACCCAAATTACTCGATGACCAACAAACTTTTTCTTTTTTTTATTAGTAATTTAGGATTAAAGGAAAGTTTCATTTATACTGAGTATAAAATTATGTAATTATCTAGGATACGTTGTCAAACTCGATTTCTCTCTGTCTAATTGTTTGTCATTTGATCATATATAAGAAAGAAAAAACATTTGATCCGTCTCATGCCTCTATCATTGGTTGCTTAAAGCATTTTGGTAGCGATAATGCCATAATTTCTGGTGTGAAGGATCCTACTTCAAGATCATTTTTCTTTATCTATCCTTTCTTGTACGCTCTATGTCCCATTTATATAAACTGATTTTGTTACAAATTAAGAAAATTTATTTAATGTTATGGAAAAGGCAATTTTTACAAAGAATTTCTCTAGTTTGTCTTTATTTAATTATCAACAATTAGAATTAAATAGTGTGTTTTTGTCCATGTTTTCAAGAAGAAATGGAAAATGCGTGTATGTATTTGAATAATTTCAAGAAGGTAAAATAAAATATGTACAATTTCAAGATTAAGTGGAGGGAATTGTTTATAATTAGACAATTTAAATAAGGGTATATTAGTAAACGAATAAAACAAATATTTTCTCAATAAAGAAATATGACTATATAAATGGAACAAGAAAATAGGGAATGTAGGATTATATAAATGAGATGGAGAGACTAACTATTTTTATAACTAACATTTTGTGACGTCCTTCTATAAAACATTGACATCTAGATATAATCAATACTTAGCAAAATTTATAAATGGTTCAATTACACATTTTAATGGATCCACAAATATTATTCAATTATTCATCATTCTTTTTAACATATTCGTATATCGTTTATAGATGTTAAAAAAAATATTCGTAAACGAATACTGATTTAACAAATAGCAGATTTACAACACATATCAGATATGCAACTTACCGTATATACAATTTATCGGATATACAACTCAATATATCGTATATGCAACTACATACCTTACATGCAATTAACATACCAGATATGTAGTTTACCGTTTAAACAATAACTTACTGAATACTAATTAAGATATAGCAAATTAAATAATTTACTAATCACAACAAACAAAATAAGTTTTATAAAATACGATAAAATTAAACAAATAATCTAAATAGTAGAGAATAAAAACAGATTCGCCCCCTCACCTAGATGATTGAAATTTAATTTGAGCGTCTGTTTTTCAAGATATAACAGTAAATCAGTAGAGTCCGAGCACTGCACATTTTACGCCGACGAATTGACTTTGGAACAATGGAAAAACGAGGCTTCATATAAACTCAACCCCGGTAATGACAAGTTAAATATGTCCATTTTAGTTTCAAACGTTAATGACAATAATAATTGGAGTTTTTAGCAGTTTNAACGTTAATGACAATAATAATTGGAGTTTTTAGCAGTTTCAGATACCAAAAATCAGTTGTTGAAAGTAAAAAAAAATATTAGCAAAACGTAGGCCGTTTTAAGGAGCCAATTTTTGGTCAATTCGGTCCGACATTTGTGCACGCAGATCGCTCCCGCACACAAGTTCAAGGTCCGAAGTTTATTTCGGTCCGTTATTTGCACTTCCCCTACCCGCGCACGTGGAGAGAAGCTCTATACTATACATAATTACTCACTTCCAAAATGTAGACATATATAAAGTAGTTCTTGGTTTCATAAACTTCATATATGGGATACACTCAAATTTAGTTATCCCTCCAACACAAACCATATTCAAATGGTCCACCTTGAACTCCAATTTCTCATTCATTGGAGCTTTATTTTTTACAAGTAAATGCATGATTTTGATGTTCTTGCGGAGAATACAAATCAATGTTAATCTTCCAAAATAAGCTAACGAATCACATTCAAAATTTATGTCAAAGTCAGCATTCACCTCATTTTTTCCGATAATAGAATCTTTCCAAATGGAGACAATCGTGATAAGGTTATTTGTGATGCAACCTTCTTACAATAACAGGCTCAACGATAAAAACATGTGTCAATAAATGATTGGACAATTTAAAAGAAAAAAAAAAAAAAATCCCAACCCCTCACTTGCTATCGTTAGCCCAGGAGCATTAATCTTTGTGATGACACTGCGTAGTTAATGTTTTGACTGAGGCGGCTACGGCTACCCTTTGGAAGTTTTTGCAATTTTATACTATATAGTTTTGACTTCGATGTTTGCAACTTGCCCCGACCCACCGCCACTCTACCCAATAAATATGGATCCTTCAATCATTCTTCCCCAATTTGAATCCAGTTTTTCATAATTTCTAAAATTTGCTATTTGCATTAGTTATGTCGCAGATTCCGATAAATGAAGCCTTTGACCTTGATCTAGCCTTAACAATGGTAGATTACGGATCGGACTCGGGCATAAACCAGTCTTTAGAACCCATGGCTGCCCACCCGATNGTAGTTGAGAATGAATTTGATTATTTCGAGGATATAGGAATGTATGATAATATCAAACTTTCTGTCCATGAAACCGGATGTCAAGGTAAAGTTGTTTGATAGCAATATTGATAATGACGAATGTGATGGTGATTGGTGAAATGAACTCGAACCTATTATAATTATTACCTTGACAAAAATTTGACAGAGACAAAATTGAAATTGGAACAGTTGACCCTCTTTTTTATTTAAATTTTTTTGGATCTGGAAGATAAAATAATAAATAAAATATAATCGATCTTATTTCACTGATCGGCCGCCTCTTGAATCACCAAAAATCCCTATTTATTATCATTTGTTGATTTATTTCTTCGAGCTCCAACTTTTTTTATTCCAATGTTCCTAGCCTCACAATTAGAATTGTAAATTGAACGCGTAAGTTTTAAAGATGTGGCACATTAAAACATAAATTTTACACCGATTATCAATAAAATAAAGACGAGAGAGAGAGAGAGAGAGGTTTTTAGATTAATCATCTTGACCGTGTTGTCCCTTCAAGACCTACATGAAGTCAAATAATTCATGTATTGCACGGGCAAAATACTTATTTAATTGCGCGTGCTGCAGATAAATTTTGAAAAATGCTACTTGTACATCACACATTGTACATAAGGGGATACATCACTCTCACATGAGGTGTGGAACCCATTGCATAAATTATTTTTTAATCTAAGCGGGTTCCACCCCCATGTGAGGGGGGGTGTACACCCCGATGTACAATGTGATGTACAAGTAGCAAGATCGATAAATTTTTACCTCTTATTCCGATTTTTGGATAAAAATTTGAGTCCCAAAGTATAATCCATCAACTTTTTTTTCTCTCTAAAGCGACACTTGTGACATAAATCTGAACTTGTTAATATTATCCAAAACTAAAGCAATGTATGGTGGATATTTCTTAAAGCTTATTTGTTCTTTTCAAATTCATTCGAACTATACAATATTTTAATAAAATAATTTTTGCACATGAATTAATAATTTTTTCTAATTTTTTAATTTTTATATTTTAAAAAAAAAAAAAAAAACTTTCATAAAATATATTTTTAAAAAATCCAAGTCAAACAGAATCTCTAGCGTAGATTAAACAATCAATTCATCAATAATTTCTTGTTCTCCAGACTGGGTCAATCAAAACATCGCTCTAGGAAAAGCCTCGCCATAATCACTTTGTAAAAGGGGAGCTATAATATCACTTTCCCCTAAATTTCACCCGCCTAAAGTCGAGCCTTTAGGCTTGTCGAGAAAGCATCAAGCCCGTCGAACTGGTCGAAGATAGCTAAAAAAGCTCTTATAATCGAACCTAAAGACTTGAAACGAATTAGGCTTCAATTTTTGTACTCGTTTTAACTTTACACTTAAACAACAACCATTTTGATCTTTAGTATTTTGTCAAGAAAATCAACTGTAGTGTGACGTAGTTGAGAATGAATTTGATTATTTCGAGGATATAGGAATGTATGATAATATCAAACTTTCTGTCCATGAAACCGGATGTCAAGGTAAAGTTGTTTGATAGCAATATTGATAATGACGAATGTGATGGTGATTGGTGAAATGAACTCGAACCTATTATAATTATTACCTTGACAAAAATTTGACAGAGACAAAATTGAAATTGGAACAGTTGACCCTCTTTTTTATTTAAATTTTTTTGGATCTGGAAGATAAAATAATAAATAAAATATAATCGATCTTATTTCACTGATCGGCCGCCTCTTGAATCACCAAAAATCCCTATTTATTATCATTTGTTGATTTATTTCTTCGAGCTCCAACTTTTTTTATTCCAATGTTCCTAGCCTCACAATTAGAATTGTAAATTGAACGCGTGAGTTTTAAAGATGTGGCACGTTAAAACATAAATTTTCCACCGATTATCAATAAAATAAAGACACGAGAGAGAGACAGAGAGAGTGAGTTTTTTAGATTAATCATCTTACATGAAGTCAAATAATTCATGTATTGCACGGGCAAAATACTTATTTAATTGCGCGTGCTGCAGATAAATTTTTACCTCTTATTCCGATTTTTGGATAAAAATTTGAGTCCTAAAGTATAATCCATCAACTTTTTTTCTCTCTAAAGCGACACTTGTGACATAAATCTGAACTTGTTAATATTATCCAAAACTAAAGCAATGTATGGTGGATATTTCTTAAAGCTTATTTGTTTTTCTCAAATTCATTCGAACTATACAATATTTTAATAAAATAATTTTCGCACATGATTTAATAATTTTTTCTAATTTTTTAATTTTTATATATATTTTTTAAAAAAAAACCTTTCATAAAATATATTTTTAAAAAATCCAGGTCAAACAGAATCTCTAGTGTGGTCGGCTTCTAATTATTAAACAATCAATTGTAGTTATTAAAGAACAAGAGGTCTGTCCAAGCTGTCAACAAACTGGTTTATCAGTATTAAAAAATCAATAAAGCTGTTTGTACAGCTTTTAAATGCTGTACAATGTACAGTTCTCTCACATAATGTGAGTCCTGTGATCTTCTATGTGAGTGGGCTGTAAGGTATGCTGTACATATAGCAGGGTTGTTAAAAAATTGAATAAAGCCTCTTGTACAAAAGACCGCCAAATTGGGAACTGGATTAGATGATTCAAAATTGGGCTGTAAAAAATTTCAACTCATGACATTGCAACATCGAATAGCGGACATACATACAAATAGTGTCAACGCGACTTTTAACTTACTGGCTTCGTGTGTGTGTCACCCCGACTTGCATAATAATGCTAAATTAGTCAACTTGATAGGGGGACTATTTTATATGTTTCAAACAAAATTTAATGAAGAAATGTTTAAAAATGTTTCTACGAGAGAGTGGTAATAAAACTTCAAGTTCTATTTTAAAAGAACGATATTGTTAGAGTAATTCAAACTCTTACACGTTGATATTTTATACTTAAACTATGTAAGATTTATCTTGTAACGTGTTCTAGTAAAATTGTGACTTATTTTAGAATATCAGTTTTGAAATTCAACGGTTTATTTTAGCTTTAAACAGATTAAATTACCTATTTGATCTTCTTGGCTCTACACTTGAGATTTTATCTTAAGATGGCTCGTTTTACAATGATTTGAAATTTGTGTATTCCTAGTAAGATTGAATTGCTCAATTGAACTTAAACTACTCGTACTACATTTATTAAAATTAAATGTTCAATCTTAAAATGTTAACACGATTAAGCTTAATGTAACGACCCGGCCTCTCATTGAAACCGTTATCTTACGTACTATCCGCTTCGGGAGAGCCTAGACCCAACTTACCCCTCATGGCTTTCTGACGCGTCTCTCAGGATTCGAACACAAGACCTCCATCACATGGGAGATTTAATTTGAATTCTGGTACTAATTGGACCGAGCATTTTTGTAACTGCCCGACCTCTCACCAGAGCCGTTAACTTATGTACTTTCCGCTCTGGGATGAGCTTCTGCCCACTTATCCTCTCACTGCTTTCGACACGTCCTCCAGGATTCGAACCCAAGACCTCCATCATATGGGAGATTTAAGTTCAATTCTGGTACCAATTGAGCAACTTGCATATATATTTTGTATGACCGCATCAAATACTCCTCTATCTCAACCACTGAAGAAATAAAACCTCACTCCTACTCAAAAATCTCAGATCATCGATGAAACGGTAAGAAGAAGCTCCTATGTTAAGGGGAGTAGCAACAATTACAACAAAGAGCTAGCCATATTGGAAGGCGGCAATTTTCGTTGGACTGGCTACGAGAAGAAAGAAGATGAATATGACAAGAAGAAGGACCCGTCGCTGTCATCCGCTTCTGTTGGTCGAAAGGTAAAACCCTTTTTCTTTTGGACGAAGGCATTTTGAATCATAAATCGATGAATATATTCTAGGTAGATGCTGAATTAGAAAAGAGAGTGAGGTGGGGCTTCTAAATTATATGGATAAATTATATTGTTTTTCTCGGGTGAGATTATTGTTAACCCCTCTATTATTGAGAGATTTTGCCACTCCAGCTTAAATATCTTTGTTAGATAGGCTTATGCACAAATTTCTGGTTATCAATGTATTGTTTGTGTATTCCTTTTTCCAGTTACCTCAAGGTTTTTGCTGAATTATGAGGTAAGGTTGAATTTTAGTTGTGGTATAAATTCCTTGGGATCCTTAAAGTATGGTTCATGGTAAGATTGTAAAGCTATAAAATGTAACACCTTCACCATGATTTACAGTACTTCGAAGCAAATTCTCTTGTTCTTGTATTTTTTGCATCTTGAACCTTGTCAATGGTCGGAAGAACTATTGGTATCAGTCGTGTCGTATAAATGGATATGCAAGCGTCATTAGCACCTTCCCAGGCTGCTCCAATGTTATCCATTATTGTCTGAACTAACTTAAAATTTGAAATAAAAAGAAACAAAAGAGAGAACAAAATAGTGTTCAACACATATTGATAATTTTTTTTATAAGATAAGAAAATTAAATATTTAAACGAAGATCTAAAAGTTAATCCCAAAGGAAATTTAGTGCTATATTAGCTGCATTCTGCCATTTCCATTAGTACAATCAAACTAGAATTTTCCACTTGTGAACAATATTTGCACCCATGTTCAATTTTATCTACAGGGAAAATAAATAAAACATCAAGTTGCATAAATTCACCATATTGTTTCATAGGAAAGTAGCTTGTGTACATAAAATTTTCATCACTATAAAATTATTTGATGGGTCAACCCGTGCCTCTGATCAGGATATTACAATGACTGATGTCATCACAAGTCCAGCGAAGACCTTAACCAGTGCTAGAGGTCCAAGCTTCATTGAGGGGTCATCATATGTAAAGCAAACATCTGATCTTAAAAGCTCTCGTGTGCCATTGTCCATCTGCCCTTCTTTTCTTACTTATTTTAGCAGAAAATTTGATTTGAAAACCAGTTTTCATGAATATTCTGACCACGTGAGTTTTGAAACCTTATATGAAGAGAGACACTAAACCAAGAAAATGATTGTTTTGTTTGCTGAACAATATTCAGCAAAACCAGCAAGACAAGTTAAGAGGAGAAGAGAATGTTGAAGACAAGTTACAAGCATTTTCTGTTGATGAATCTTCTAGGCTCTTCTTGATTGTTCCAACTTGCAACCTTCAGCTTGTGACCAAGTGTAATCTTGAATTTCAATAGCCCCCCTCAAGGTGGAGAGTAGATGTCTTCTACTCCAATCTTGATCAAATGAGAATAGAGAACATTAGATGTGAGAGGCTTAGTCAGTATATCAGCTATTTGTTCACCAGTCCAAACATGTTTCGTAACAATGCTTCCTTCCTGTAATTTTTCACGCACCAAATGACAATCTAACTCGATGTGCTTCGTTCTTTCGTGAAATACCGGATTAGCAGCTATGTGTAAGGCTGCTTGATTATCACAGAACAACTCTGCCGGCTGTGAATGAGACACTTGCAGATCATCAAGTAAGTATTTTAGCATTGTTAATTCACAGCAAACAGTAGCCATAGCCATGTACTCTTCTTCTGCTGAGGACCTTGAGGCTGTGCTTTGTTTCTTGGATTTCCTAGATATCAAAGATGAACCACTGAACACACAATACCCAGTTACTGATCTTCTAGAATCTGGACACCCCCCAATCTGAATCACTATATGCCTAAACTTGTAAATTAGAAGATGAAGGAAACAATAGTCCTTGGCCTGATGATCTTTTGATATACCTAAGCACCTTATGTGCAACATTCATATGTGGTACTCTAGGTGACTGCATCTATTGGCTCAACAAATTCACTAAATAAGATATATCAGGCCTGGTAATTGCTAAACAGAGCAGCATCCCTATCAACATTCTGTACGATGCAGGATCAGCAAGAATCTCTCCATCATCTTTGGATAGTTTGGTGTTTTGATCAAGTGGTATTTTGGCTGGAGTGGCCCCAATGGTTCATGTGTCTGCTAAGATGTCCAATGCATACTTTCTCTGGCAAATTTGAATTCCCTTTGCTGATCGAGCTACCTCTATCCCAAGGAAATACTTCAAGTTTCCCAAATCTTTAATTTTGAATTTATTATCAAGTGTAACCTTAAGTGAATTGATAACCTTGTCATCATTTCCAGCCATTATTATGTCATCTACATAAACTAACATGGCTGTAAATGAGTCACATGAGCTCTTTCTGAATAGGCTATAGTTAGCATTGGATTGGTGGAATCCCTGATTGATGATGAAGGCTGAAAACTTCGAGTACCATTGTCTAGACGTTTGCTTCAAACCATATAAACTTTTATTAATAAGTTTGCAAACCTTCGAGCCTCCATCAATGCAATAACCAGGAGACACTTTCATATAGACCTTTCCTCCAAGTCCCCATGTAAGAATGCATTATTCACATCAAACTGATGTAAGTAGCAATTCCTTACTGCTGCCACCGCAAGTAATGTTCTCACTATCACTAACGTTGCTACAGGTGAGAATGTCTTATGGTAGTCAATTTCCTCCAGCTGAGTGTATCCCTTTGTCACCAACCTTGCCTTATACCTTTCAACTGTTCCATCAGCATTGAAATTTACTTTATAAACCCATCTACATTCTATAGGTTCCTTTCCAGGTGGAAAATCCGTCACAGTCCAGGTCTGATTTAATTCAAGAGCTTTTATCTCAGCCTGCATTGCTTCACACCACATACGATTTTTGATAGCTTCTTGGTAAGTAGCAGGTTCTGATTGTGTTAGTATAGATTAGGCAAAGACTTTGTGTTTATTAGATATTTTGTGATGTGAAAGTGTTGCACAAAGAGGAAATGGTTTGCCTGAAGCTGCAGTACCTTTCTCCTTGTTGGACTCTTAAGAATGAGTGAGTGATAATGCTTGTTGACAAATGAAATCTTGCAGGTAAGTTGGTGTTTTTCTACTTCTATCAGATCTTCGTGGTATGTGGAAAGTCTCTATAACATTAGGTGAGAAATCAGGTCCAACAGAGGGTTCATTGGCTTTAGAAGATTCCATGTTCTGTCTAGGATTTTGTTCTGGCTCAGCTTGTGATTGGAAATTGGAATCATCAGGATAGTTTAAGTTAATATTGCTTGGATAAGGATATGCCAAGTCTGCAGGGCCAGGTAGTTTATGAGGGAAATTTGACAGATGATCATCAGCCTTAGCACTAGACTCTTTGCAATGGAATATTTGCTCATGGAAAACCACATTTCTTGATAGGAAAATTGTATTGGTTTTCAAGTCCAGCAACTTGTAACGTTTAGTCCCAAATGGATATCCCAAGAACACACATCTCCTTGCCCTTGAATTAAACTTGTGTCTGTTATGTACTGATGTGGTAGCAAAGGCAAGGCAACCAAACACCCTTAAGCTGGAATAACAGGACTTAGTTTTAAGAAGGACTTCAAAGGGTGTTCTATTATTAAGTATGGGAGTAGGTGTCCTGTTTATAAGAAAAACTGCTTTAAGGACACAGTTATTCCAATATAGCATAGGCAGGCCACTTTGAAATCTTAATGCCCTTGCAACATTTAAAATATGTTGATGTTTTTTTTTCAACAATAGCATTTTGTTGGGGAGTCTCCACACATGTTGTCTGATGTATTATTCCTTTCTTAGAATAATTTTTTTTTAAGTTAAACTCCTTTCCATTATCTGTTCTGGTGACTTTAATCTTAGAATGAAATTGCGTTTCAATCATGGTATAAAAGGTTTGCAAAATGATTAAAGCATCAGACTTTAATTTCAACAAATAAATTCAAGTGCACCGGCTGTGATCATCAACAATGGAGAGAAAATATTTTGATCCATCATAAGCAAAGTTAGTACAAGGCCTCCACAGGTCACAATGGATCAAATCAAAGCATTTTTTAGATCTGCGTTGGCTAATACTGAAAGGTAACCTATGTAATTTTGCTAAGGGACAGATAGAATAGGGGATCCTTGTGCCTTTTGCTCCAAATTCATGGTGTAAATCAGCTAAGTATAACCTAGAATCTGACGGGTGAGCTAATCTAAAATGCCACATATCAAAACCTTCTTTATTGGGAATACTGGAGGTGGAAAAATATTTTTGTTAACAAGCCTTGGTAAGTTACGGATTAGGCTTGTAGAAGACACTTCTCCTTGCACCAACTGATACAATCCCTGCCTCACTTCACCCAGACCAATCATCCTCCAAGTTGAAAGGTCCTGTATATAACATGAATTAGAAGTAAATATGAGACAGCATTTTGATGTTTGAGCTAGCTTTTTGACAGAGACAATATTAAAAAAAGGATGGTACACACAAAACAACATGAAATACTAAGTCATCTGTAAGTTTAACACTTCCTACATGAGTAGACATTGTTATATCCCCATTAGGTAGGGTCACAGATTGAGATATTTTGGATTTAATGGCTGTGAAAAATGAAGTTGAGAAGACCATATAGTCTGTAGCCCCAGTATCTACAATCCAAGGTGTAGTTAAGTGAGGCCCAACCTTTGTGTTGTAAGCTGACAAACACATATAAGTACCAGAAATTTTAGATGTATTAATGTGCTTTGTGGTGAGTGCATGAGATTCACTGGTTTGTAGTTTCAGCAAGGTTATCAGCTGTGAATATTGCTCTTGAGTTAAATTGACTTGATTTCTGTCACTAATCTGCTCCTGTGCAGGTTCCAAAGGAGTAGCATTATGGTTTGCAAAAAATGACATTTGCTTGTGTTCTTCCATGCAGCCTGTGACCTGGTGGATATCCATGGACTTTGTAACAAGTATCTATGCTATGGCCTGAAATTTTGCAATGAGTACAGGTTGGTTTATCCTTATTTGCCTTAAAATGCCTATTCAACGAGTGGCCATACATCTTGCAAAAGGTACAATAGTACCTCTTCTGAGATCCCATATTACCTCTCTCCCCAACACTTCTTGATATCAGCGCCATTCGTTCAGTGGAAGGCATATCAACAGAGATGTCTCTTCTTTTCTCTTCATACACTTCATTTAGTTTTTGAAAAGGCTTTATCAGTAATATCTGTGCCTTGAGACCTTTGTAAGAGTCGTTGAGCCCCATAAGGAACTTCATTACCCAATCTCTTTCTTGACTCTCAACTACTGTCCTCAATCCTCCACATGTACAGTTGGGAGTGGACTCATAGTTCATTAGCTCATCAAGTAGTGTTTTAAGCTTCGAAAAGTAAGTACTCACTGTGTCTTGACCCTGTTTCAGTGCTACAATGCCTTGCTTGACTTCATATATTCTAAGGGCACTTTGTTGGGCTAGACGTTGCTCCAACTCCAACCACAGTTAGTTTGTTGTTTCAGCATAGAGAGTACTTACCTTTATGTCTACTGACATGGTGTTTTGCATCCAAGTGATTACATTATCATTGCAACGAATCCAATGTTCTATTAAAGGGTTGTCCACACTGGTTGGCTCACATATGCTGCCATGAATGAAGCCCAACTTGTTCTTAATCCGAAGAGCTCTTTTCATGGACCTTGCCCAAGAGTGGTAATTGGTAGAGTCCAGCATCTGAGTTACCAAAAAAGCTCCTGAGTTTTCATTAGCTCCAATGAAGTATGGACTGCTAAGAAGAGATGGATTGCTTTGATTTGTATTAGGATTTGTATTTTGGTTTTGAGATGTATTATAATCGACACTAGTGCCTTCATTTTCAGCCATCGTTGCTCTGATACCATATAAGAAAAAGATTTTTTTTGTTTGCTGAACAATATTCAGCAGAACCAGCAAGACGAGTTAAGAGGAGAAGAGAATGTTGAATAATGATTTCATTCATTCAATATGTATATTACAAATATGAAGGCTCAATTACAAATATATAGAAAAGATTCTAACAAAACTATACAAGTGTCAAATAACTATTGGCAGACTTTATTATACATAACTAACAATAACAAAATTGGAATCTACTCATCTCCAGCATGTGCGTCTGTTCCCCGTAGTGCATTTTCTGTTGATGAATCTTCTAGGCTCTTCTTGATTGTTCCAACTTGCAACCTTCAGCTTGTGACCAAGTGTAATCTTGAATTTCAATAGTTTGCAGCTAATGCATGTGTTTTTAGTTTCTTAGATTCATAATTATAAGTATTGAGGTGCTTTATCTAACAAATTTTTGCTCAATTGTAAAACCCAACCTGAAAATGAAGTATTTTGGAATTTGTATTTGATGTAGGATAG